AAAGGTAATACTTAAGATAATTGTTTCTTAGAGTAAATTCTGCAACATAAAAGATGTGAATGCATTACGTCACATTTATTTCACATTTCTATACACTTCAGTATAAGTACTGCTTTGTTTTTAATTTTCCTCAATTGGGCCATAAAAAGACTTGGCTGGCACTGACAATTTTGTACATTATCTAAATGTTGCTACCTCTGTTAGCAGTTTAAACATATAGCAATGCTTAAATTCTGTTAATTCTTTTTTTAGTTATTGAAAATTTTGCACAAGCAACTCTTCAGTACCGTTACTACAGCTAACAGCAGCTAACAGAGGACAGTCTGTATTTCATAAACTATGTAATTCTGAGTACATTATAATACGCAGCCACAAATCCACATGTGGATGATTTACAAAGAATTTAAATTCAAATTTATGGATTAGGTATTTCCACGGCCTAAACTGCAAGTAATCTACTTCTAAAGTCGCCAGATATGTTTGAAAGTTTATGCTTTCACCTTTACTGGAAAGACAAACTTGGTCTAACCTGGTCCCATCGAGATTGCTGCTGGATGACACATGGAAAAGAAATATAACCCTTTAATCTCCATCCTGGCAGCAAAAGGGAATTAGGCCTACAGCGTGTTCGCAAAGATGAGCAGCTCAAGTGCAGTTGGTAGGCAGCCAAGGTGACACTTATTTTGGCTGCCGTGTGTTCTACTCACTGGAAGTTGGCCACTCGGATGGCTACAGGCACATGAGAGAGCTGGGCCGCCCATTTCAGAGTCACATCCTGATACACCAGCAGCATGTTGTTGTGGTTACCAACCAGGCTGTTTGTCGTTCCTTCGGAGACTGGAGCACAAAAACAAACAGGCTTAACACGCGTTAATTCTGCTAACTCTGACATTTATATTTACAGGAGGTGCATTATCAGCTTTGTTCTCAATATATGGAATTAATATGTCTGAGAAAAACACGTGCAGCTCAAGATAATAATTTTTTTTGTCTTTTTTAGTTACAAAAGAGTTCCTTCATGATGCTGCCCAACTTGGTAATTTTATTTGTACATTCAATTCTGCTATGACAAGTTAGATGTGTTCCTGAAGAGCTCTGCGTTATGAAAACTCTTGGTATAATAACCACTGATTCAGTGGGGAATTAAGGGGGTTAGGAGAAAGAAGTCTGCAAAACAATATCATGATTTAAATCTTTGTTCACCATTTTGTCTATTACTGTTAATCCATGCTCGTTAATTAGTCTAAACTGTTTTATTGTGATATCATTAATTTAATACAACCATGAAAAAAACACTGAAGTAAAATGCATGAGATAGGTACAGTACATGTCAGCCTTCACTGTTAAATGATGGGAAATCAGACACTACACTCCCCTCCTTCTTGCAAGCAGTTAAAAACCCACGAATAGGTTTAAAAAAATAAAAAGACAGCATGTATAAAGCCTTAAAAAGACGAAATAATGAAATGCCCTTGGTTATCTGCTATCCACTGGTAGTGTGCGTGATGCACACATTTACAAACCTATACATCACGCCAATAAACCCTTCCCAGTCTAGTACTGTTGATTAATGCAGATTCTAGTAAGGCTTGACACACTGGAACACGAACGAGCTACATTTTCACAATCCGTCATAATGAAGACCATGAACCTGATACCGAATGTACTGTTATCAAAGCCTGCAATTGTGGTAAGATCTAAAGGCCTGGTGTGCAAGCTCACACTGACGTGACTTTAAATGACAGGTGGTAGCCGCTGTTCATACCACTTAAAAGAACAGCGTACTTTTTAAAGTCGCCTAAAATGGAATTACAGAGCCACCATCTTTTGTTTGATTCTACTTCTGTGGTCAAACGGTAATAATATCTATCTGACATATGGTATAGGTTTGACAATTCCACTGCACCTTAAGAAGATCTTGCCAGAAACATGCCTGATTATAAAGCGCGGATAAACTTAGTCATTATCACTCACTGTAAAGAACTAAGACAGACATGCAAGCGACATTCTTTTGGGATTGTAGGAACCTGCTAAATATTATGAATGCCGCAGAATGACTAGTAAAAATACACTTGCACTTAGCAAACATGAGCGGCTCAAAAACGCTTAAAGCAACCTCCAGATTGTGGTTATGGGAAGGGGATTTCTCATTTCAATTTCTAAATATGCTTTCAATGACCAAAGTCTATAACTAAAATAATTACTTTTTTTGCTCCAAATATTTGCACGTAATGTTTTCTGTTATGAATGGGAAAGGACGGCTAAGAAGAAGCAATCCATCACACTGCCTGTATTCACACATGTTACAAATCACTTTAAAACCATTAAAATACTCTGTGATTAAAACCTAAACTTTATGGTTTTCACAGTTTTGTTATTCTATAGCTGGATTCTATAGGGTTCACTTTAATTTTGCTAAAAAGGACAGCTGTCTGAATCAATTTGTTTATCATTATTTTTAAAAAAGGAGTATATCTGAAAACAAAACTTTAAAAATCACATATTGGTTCTGTAATCTCAGCAACCAAAGACTGTCCTTCAAGAACAGGTGTGAATAATAATGGTTGTTGTGTGAGAGTATACTGTATATGGGGAGCATCAGATACACTTTGCACATATAACTACATAAGAAGCACAGGTATCAGGATATCAGAAAAAGGACTGTCTTGTTTGTAGCAAGAATACTGACATTGTATCGAGCAGCCATCACATAGGTAAATTTATTATGCTGATAAACATTTGTCATCAACAGGTGTCTGCTGTGTAAGTCACAAGTTAATACCGTGTGACCACCACTGGAGGCAATACAAAAATGCTGTCTTGTGAAATTCTGGCCCACTCCTCTCACAGAAACCAGATGAGCAAGTCCTGTTCCCCGGTCTCTGAATACTCAAATGCCATATGTTGTCCCAGTTCATCTTGCAAAAGTTCAAAGGTGCTCAAGTCTGGCGAGAGGTTGGCTGTAGCATAACTATCACATTCTTATCTCAGAAGAAAGCCATTGTGACAAATGCAGCGTGAGCGCGTGTTGTCCTGCTAAACCTTTGTCAGGTCACGATAAGCCTACAGGAAGGATAGCTAGGGATGTCCCAGAAAGCACTCAATATCCTGTAGCACCATGCAGTCAGGTTGCCATCAACTAACCACAAGCAGTGCAGAAACCAGACTCCTGCCTCAATCTCAACTGGGACATTCTGCAGTACCGGCAGCATGGTGGCATAATGGTGAGCATTATTGTGGCTCTGGGGCTAAAGATCCACCTGGATTAACTGGCTTCTGAGAAAATTAGGCCTACTGTGAGTGTGCGCGTGTTTGTGCTTATGTGCGCCCTGCGATGGTCTGGCATCCCAATCCAGGGTGTATCCTGCCTTGCTCCTAATGCTTGCCAGGGCTCCTCCATAACCCTGGTTAGACGTAGCCGCTAGAAAATGGACAGATGGATGTTCACAACAACTAGCATACAGGCCTGAAACCTAAACATCGCCGAAGGGGACTTGATTAAACTAAGAGTTGCCCACACCACCTCATTCTGATGCAGCAATGAACATTGGAGAACACTATGCCTCAGCCTGACCTACCGACAATGACAGTTCAGCTGCCTCCTCGCAGTCAAACTGCTCATGAGCAAGTTGTTCTGGCCCTTTTGAACGCAGTGTGAAAATCATGAAAATGAAGCATAATTATATGCAGAACTTAGCAAAGTGTAATGGCTCATGGTCTCCCAGATTGTGGCCTCTCATGGACAGATGGCATTTGGCTGTAAATATCTTGCGCAGTTAGAAATTGCTGGCTGTTAACAATGCAGACAGTGAGCACCGGCACAATGAATCAGTCTTGCCTCCAACATACCGATGACACAAAAGTA